CCCCCCCCCCAACCCCTCCCTCTCCCCTTCCCTTTTAGTCTAACAATCAATCACCGAGGGAAACAACATTTCTGAATGGGGGAATGCTACGATATTCCGACCCTCCTCAGACTCTACAGTAACAAAAATAACGTGGATTGAGCTGCCTTTCTAACACAAAATTATGATTATTTTTTTGTGTCTCCAATACCCTTTTCTTATTTTGATCAAGTGAACAACAAAATAAGGAAACAAATTGGTTTGCTGTGTCAGGTGGGAGGCTAAGTTGGAAAGTGCAGCTCTAATGCTAGGCCTTATTGGTAACATCTGTCTTGCCTTTCTCTTTTTCCCAGTAACTCGAGGTTCATCCATGTTGCGGCTTGTCAGCCTAACGTCGGAGTCAAGCATCAAGTATCATATTTGGCTGGGGCACACTGTTATGACCCTCTTCACATCACATGGATTGTGTTACATAATCTTTTGGACCAAAACACATCAATCTTCAGAGGTATCTACAAGTTAAGGTTATAAATTTAGAACATATTTTTATACTTTCTGGGCATTTTCTTAGGTTAAAGAAACCTCAAAAGCATCAATTTGGGCAAAACGCAGATAATGAAATGGAATAAACTTGGAATCTCAAATGTGGCCGGAGAAGTAGCCCTGTTTTCTGGACTAGCAATGTGGGTGACAAGCTTTCCTCGCGTAAGGCGAAAGATTTTTGAGCTCTTTTTCTACACTCATCATCTATACATCCTATTCATCGTGTTCTTCGTGTTACATGTGGGATTCTCTTATTCTTGCATCATGCTTCCTGGTTTCTACCTCTTCTTGATTGACCGGTACCTCAGATTCTTGCAATCTCAACAAAGGGTACGCTTGGTTTCCGCCCGTGTTCTGCCTTGCCAAGCTGTGGAATTAAATTTCCCTAAAACCCCAGGTGAGTACTTCAGATCATGAGAATATCCTCCCCTACACTAGGTTGAATTGTTCTCTAAAACCTTTAGACCAGCTAAGCTATGTTATATATCCAATATTTCCATTATCGAAACCATCTTTGACCAACCTAGAAAAAAATCACCTTTAAGTAAATGAGCTTGAAATGGAAATTTTGATTACAAGATTGGATATTTTAGTCCTTTCCTTGATTCTGATACCAGGATTGAGGTATAATGCAACAAGCACCATGTTCATAAACATACCTGGCATTTCCAAGCTGCAATGGCATCCGTTCAGTATTACCTCCAACAGTAACTTGGAACCTGAGAAGCTAAGTGTTGTTATCAAAAGTGAAGGAAGTTGGTCTCACAGGTTGTATGAGAAGCTCTCATTGCCCTCACCAATGGACCACCTTGAAGTTTCTATTGAAGGTCCTTATGGACCTGCTTCAACCAATTTTCTAAGGTATGCACATCAAAATAGAATGGTCAATATAGATTAGTACCCAGTAGTTGGGATAAAGTATTGTTGAATTAAATATCGATTAGTACAGCCAGAGCTAATATGGCTATTGTGCGTTTTAATACTTGATAACAAAACAAAGCATAACAAAGGAAATTACCAGTTTTTCAATAATGCTACTATACTATACAAGATTAGTGGTTCATACCTGGATTAAGAGGTCAAAAACTATGGTTCAGACATGATATGCTTGTGATGGTGAGCGGAGGAAGTGGCATTACTCCATTTATATCTATCATCCGGGAGTTGCTCTTTACTGCTGCCACAACAAGCTGCAAGGTGCCAAGAGTGCTCCTCGTTGCTGCTTTCAAGAAATCTGTGGATCTGACCCTTCTAGACCTCATTCTTCCAGTTTCAGGCACCACTTATGACATTTCTCAATTGCAATTAGAAATTGAAGCATTTGTGACAAGAGAGAAAGAGCCAACAACAGACAACCAAAAGCTCCACCAGACCATATGGTTCAAGCCCAGTTCTTTGGATGCTCCAGTTTCTGCAATTCTAGGCTCAAACAGCTGGCTTTGGCTGGGAGCTATAACTTCAGCTTCTTTCATCATCTTTCTTCTGCTCATCGGCCTTCTTACACGATACTACATATACCCCATTGACCATGATACTAACATGAAATATGCATACTCGTCAAGATCTGCTCTAAACATGTTATTCATATGCGTGTCCATAGTAATAACTGCAACCATAGCTTTTCTCTGGAACAAAAAAGGAAATGTTAAGGAAATGAGGCAGAATCAAAACACAGACACACCAGCACCAATGGCATCACCAGGACCAGGATCATGGTTCTACAATGCCGATAGAGAGTTGGAAAACCTTCCCCACCAGTCTTTTGTTCAAGCTACCAAATTGCACTATGGTCAAAGGCCCAACCTTAAAAGTAAGCAATTTTTATCATTCCATTTTTTGTATATGTAAACAGTATGAGACCAAGCATTTAGACCTATTAGTCATATTACCTTTTGGCCAAATGTATTACAAAGCAATTCCATTATGCTGAATACTGGACCTTTTCCCTTTCTATAGTAAGCCATCCTGTCCATTGGAAAATTCCTGATCTATTCATGTTTCACCTTCATTGCCTCAAGGTGGCTAAATTGGGTGCCTCTCTTTTGCAGAAATACTCATGGAGTGTGAAGATTCTCACACTGATGTTCTTGTTAGTGGCCCGGAGAAGATGAGACAGGAAGTAGCAGCTATCTGCTCATCCGGTTTGGCAAATAACTTGCACTTTGAATCATTCAGTTTTAGCTGGTAACCTGAAAGAAAGCTCTGTCCACGTCTGATCCTTATCAATGCTGAGATATTGAAGTTGAGGATGTTAGGTTCCAAAAATTTAAGAGGCAGTTGCAAATCTACATAATGCAAGAAGGATTTTTCATCTTTTTGTAAATTGAATAAAATTTTTGAAAATAAAATTCGAAGTATTAGAAGATTTTGAAGGCCAAAAAATTATCTAGACATCAGGCATTAAAACCCACATGATATCTACCAAAGGCAAAAGGTTTCCCAAGAATGGGGTTACTTTGGGGTGCGTTTGGTAATGTTTTCTGTTTTCAGAAAATATAAAAACAGAAATAATTTTTGTTTTTTGCAGTGATAAAAAGTTGAAATAGAAAACTTCTTTGGTTGCATTTTTTTGTTTAAGAAACTCCGAAAATAAAAATGGAAAACATATTTGGTAACCACTTTTATTTATGTCATATTTAGAAGCTTTATATTAATTCCCCGCTAGAAAACTAATCAAAATTCAATGTCACAATACATCAATCAACACAACAAACTTTCCTATTCCTTCACCTTCGGAACCATAACTTTTCAGAACACCAATTTTCATCTACAAACCAAACTGTAAACATCCATCAACACGCCAAACTATAGACATCATCTACACACCAAACTCTAAACATCCATCAACAAACCAAACTATAGACACGATCCGCACTAGTACTTTATCACTCAAATCTTTTGCTTGGAGGCTCACAAGCTGTCCCAACTCATACAAAAGTCTGCATCCACAGGGGATCATGAATTTTAACTTGTACATCAACAGACACAATATTGCTTTGAGTAGTTTTGCTTCATCTCTTCGCACAAGATCAACTCAAAATTGCTTTGGATTGAATAAGTGCGTGCAAAAATTAGACACAAATGGTAAGTGATTCCTTGAAAATATTGCAGGTCCAAACCTAATGCAATATCCCAAATAATCATAATATTCCTAATTCTACAGTGATATGCAATATCTCAAATCATCCTAAACCACAGAGACCCAAGCACAGAGGCCCACTCACACAGGCGCATACACCTAGGCACACACACCGAGATCCACACCCACAGAGGCGTGGGCACATACACACAGACAGACCCACCCACCCACAAAACTAGAGACCCTAATTAGCACAAACAAACAAACAAAAAAAATCAAATCTATGTATATACAGATCAATGTATAGATATATGCATGTGTATACAAATTGAGTACATGTATACATATGTATGTATTGGCATATATAAATATGTAGATCTACTCACATATCTGACCTTTGGGTGCTTTGTTCGAAGAGAGAAATTGAAATAGAAGAAGGGTGCAACGGACCTTTAGCACAGAGCGAACTTTCGGAACTTGATATGGAGTGACGAAGGTGCAGCAGATTAGCAGAAGAGATTGAACAGAGAGAGAACGCAGAAGTTGAGAGGAGAGAGTTGAGGCGGTGAAAAGAATACATTGAAGAGAAAAAAAAAAGTGCTTAAATAGTTCTAACAAAAAAACCTTCATTTTGCTGTGAATGAGGATTTTTGGTTTTTTTGAAACACGAACCAAACGCAGTCTCAATAATAAATCTGGCGTGCAATCTAAACAACTTGCACAATTGAAGATCCCCCATAAGAGCAGCTAGATCGTCCTAGTTTTTAAACATCTGACAATCCTCTCTCTTCAAGAGGGGTTCACAATTCAAAATTATCAATCAGTAACACCTATGAAACACCAGCAAAACCCAATGTCAGATCAACTAGGAGAATAGTAAATTGCAAGCCATTTCTACAATGATGCAATATGCAAGTGTGTATTTTTTCAAGCATTACCTCTTTCATAAGTAGCACCCAGCAAAGCTTTAATTGATTCAGGGAGACACCTGAACCATATGTTGAACAGTCAAACTTTATTTATTTTGTTAAACAGAGAACTATTCCGATGCAATCTCCCTCCAGATACATATATAATCACCTAGAAATCAAGCCTACCAAGTAAACCAGAACTCAATTGTGAGAGTTGGACTTGGAGCCTAGATGAAATAAATTGAAATTCTTCCCATAAAAGCTAACTGACAGGCTCAACTTTCATCGGAGGGAGAGAGAGAGAGAGAGAGAGAGAGATAAATGGCTTTGCCAAAGAAATTAGATTAATATAGTACTTTACACGAGCAAAATAGCCAAAATCAGACATACATTAACGTAAAAGACTACTATGCCAAAACAGGAAAAAAAATGGTCAATGAAGGTAGAATCTCCTATCTATTTCCTATCTTCCAACCCAGCCTAAGAGAACGAGACACACGAACACAGCTCATGAAGGTCATCCTCTCCTGGGTGATGCACCCTAATAATCATAATCACGCAGTCCAGCTGGTGAGGCAGTATTTACATCCTATTGTGGTTATACCTAAAAGAACTTCTTTCTTCCCGGAAACGCCGGGACACTTCCCTTCGGTCAGTACCACTGCAGTCACCCTTATAATGAGAGTCACATGCCTCAAAACAATCGTCTGAATCATATCGGTACTGCCTCACACCTCCGGTGTCGTATTGCTTGACCTGATCAATTATTCCACATCTCTCATCATGTCTCCTACCATTGTCGCTGTCCTCAAATTTACATGCCCCAGTAGCACCAGCCACTGGGGGAAATCTTCCGGAGCTTATCATGGGTCTAACATAACCATCTGGCTTCAATCTTCCAGAATAGTTAATAGAATGAAACCTTTGGCTCTGCCTAAAGGTTCTCACAGTTGGTCTCCTGTCCCTTGAATGCTCCTCAACACAATCCCCGTCGTTAACACCTCTTGAATTACGCCTTGGGGAGAAGTGACCTCTTGGTGGAGACATGACACTTCCTTCATGATCAGTCACAAATCTGGGCTTCTGAAAAGCAAACCTCACTCTCTCCATTCTAGCCTCAGGCCTGAAATCTGGAGATCTACTGTACCGCCTTGTACCCAGATTTCGTTCTCTCTGCAAGTGCCACACGGGGGGAGAGCGCGCTCTGGATCTCGAGCGAGATCTCCGGTGAGGTCGAGAAATATGATCCCATCTGCCAAATGTGGGAGAAAAGCTTCGGTCTTTTCTGGTTGAATAATGTGGCACACGAACAGAAGATGTAGAACCATCACCAGGCACATGATCACGGTATCCATCCATGGGGGCCCTACTAACCTCTGGCAGATATTTTCCTGACCTGCCCCTGTTCCGGTCACCACCGATGCCTCTAACTGGTGGCATTCCCCTATGGAAATCATAATAATCTTCCTCATCAACTGATGACCTCCTTCTAATGGGTGGCCTATACATGCCTCTTGAGGAAGAATTTGGAAATTGTTTGTGATCACGGCAGTTTGGTCTGTCAAAACTGCCAGCAGAATCAGCATTCACACTAGGCCGGGTGTAGCTGGCATGATAAACAGGTGGATGACGACCTCTAGAATCCCAATGGCCCACTGAAGAATCGTCCCAGTAACCATTCCCTTCATTTCTTTCGCGTACATGCAAAGACGGTCTGTTACTTCCCATGGATTTGACAGAATCAGAATTCTTTTCAACTCCAGACAACAAACCACCACGGTTGTGGGATCTAACAACATAATAGCAAATGGCAATCAATTAGCAAACAGAGAAAAATAAAATATACATAGGAGGGAAATAGAAACAGCTGTTAAACAAAACATCCAAAACATATGAAAGGTCTAAAAAAATTACCTGCCAGGCCGTATAAGCATAGTGTCCTTCCTATCCAAGACATCAAAAGTTGATGGTCCTTCAATGCATGACAATTTCCCACTGGATGCACTTGATCCAACCTCTTTTCCATCTAAACCATTGACATCAAGCCCATCCATGTGATCACAAGAATGACTTCTTGCACTGTCATCATATAATTCAACCCGCATGTTTCCAGACTGTTCGACAGCAATTCTAGATCCTTCATTCAACCCTTCCGTACCAACCCTTCCTTTCTCTTGAGTGTCATCTATTATATTACTCGATGTTTTAACAGACTTGCTCTTACAGAAATCTGCTGTTATAACTTTTGTCAGCAATGACGCCCCCTTTTCCACAGGTTGGGAACCTGCACAACCAACTTCAACTTTCTCTGGCATATGGTGATGAGATTCATCAATATTATCTACTTCTCTGTCATCAGATTCATAGTCCACACATTCCATTTCCTCCTCAAAGGAATATACAACTGACTCCCTCAGTTCCCCATCCTCAAATGGAGAATCATAATCTGCCTGAAGTTCAGTCCTATTTGTTGCACTGACCATGTGGCCATGATTCTTTTGAAGAACATCTCCATTGTGGCGGTCATCAAAAGGTAAGGCAATCTCACAAGAGCAACTAGTAGGATCGTTAGTATAACTTTTGAATGAGTTCTGCAGAATGAATCCACCATGCGATCCTCCATCAGAGACAGGATTGTCATAACACTGGGACATGGATTCCATATGCCCACTACGCACTGGGAAATCGACATCAGCTGCAGTAGTTCTGTCATCTGGGCCTTTTGCATCACCATATAGAATAAGTTGGCCTTCTCTTCCTCCAACAGAGGTGCCTGAAGCAGACAAATCTTCACACTCAGGTGAAGCATGGGAATGATCTACCTTATCTGAGTTATATTGAGAAACCTCAACATCTACAGTTGTGCATGTAATTGTGCCAATCACCTCCCTTGGAGAAGTCCCAGTATCAGGCAATTCAGATGTTTTTCCAATATCTTCATGGTCTTTATTTTGGATGATGTTCTGAGAAACGGCCTTCTCTCTGACTAGCACATCCGCAAAAGCAACATCATGCTTCCTAAGCTGAACCCTTTCTGACGATGTAATTTTACCAAGCTGTGATGTAGTTCTGCAACAATCTTCATTGTTCTGCATAACAGAAGTGCAGGCAGAAGATGTATCCATCTTCTTCTCTGACAAACATATGTTTGGAGTACTATGTGATACAGGGTACAGAGTATCATAATACATGCTCGCACCCTGACCAGAAGCTTTTGTATCATCTCCATTGTAGTTTAAGGGTTCCAGAGGATGTCCATGTGGTGTACAAATACATTTATCCTTGACACAGGTTCTATCAAGGTCAGAGCATGCTTCCAGCAATTGTTCCTCAACTAAAGATTTGGAAGGCCGAGTAACTGTGCCTTTTGGGTCTAAAATCACATATTGTTCATCTACATCTGCTGTGATCATTCTGCACATGGTAGACTGCACTGCACCTTGGTTATTAACTTCAGAGTCCCTCTGAAGTTTAAATTTCTCCAGTGTTTCTCTCTGCATACCATCATTGACACCTGAAACATTTCTTTGAAAGTCAACAGTTGAATAATCACAGGGTTGATCCCATACGTCCATCACAGTGTTAAGGTCCCAGTGCAGTCTGAGTTCTTTAGAAGGAACACACCTCGCTGCCCCACCATCATCCTTGTTACCGAGATATTTCTGAGAAACAACCGAATTGTCCTGAACAAATGAGCCATCCACATTATCTTCATGTACCAAATCGTTTTGGCACTTATTCCCAGTTCCCGTTGATGTGATAGTTTCTTCCAACGGCATAGTGGAATTAGGTGAACCAAAAACTTGTGAAGTAGAATCCGCTACCAGATCCTTCTTGCCATTACCCGCTTCACCACCAATGCTACTAATGCAGGCAGCAGCTGCAAGAAGTGCAATACCAGAGAAGTCCTCAGTGCAACAAAGCTTTCTATCTGTCACTTCAAAGACATTGTCATCCATAACACCACCATTGTCATCCGCAAACTCAACTACTATAGAGCCATCAAAGTCCCTAACTTGTTGGATGGAAAATGAATCTGGACAATACCATTCACCTGAAGCACATTTACCATCTAAACGCTGTTCAGAATCTTCAGAGTGGGGAGAGAGAGTCTGGGCTTTACGTGATAGTGACTCTTCATGGTGTTGAGAAGGGGTACGAGGTGGTGGTGATGGAGAGCGAAGCAAACATCTCCTTTTCTTGATTGGTACGTGCTCTATTTTGTCAGACAGAAGTTGCCCAGGAATAGCCACACCAAGCTGCCAAATAAACAAATACAAGCAAGTCAGATTCAGGGTGATTTTATTGCTCATGTACAAAAATTCAAAAAAAAAAGAAAAAAAGAAAACATACCTTCTCAGACTCAGAAACTGAAGAGCCCCACACCCTTTTAGGGCTCTTGTTGCCCAGTTTTGCACCAACATTGAAGCTTCTACCAGCTGGCTTCCTAGAGCGTCTCCCTCTTGTCAAAGTCTTCCAACTTAAGTCAGGATCGATAAAATTGGTAAGTTCTACCCCCACTTTGCTAAGCATGCTTGCAGGTCCTATCCCATTAACTAATGGTCTGCCGCCACAAGTCTTGCAGGATGCCTTTGTTAGTTGGTTTCCTTTTCTGCTTAACTCAAATTTAGATGCTAAACTTCCTGTGCAATTACAGGAGCGAGTCTACAAGTAGAAAAAAAGTGCATTACTTAGAAACCAAATCCACCAGATGCCAGATCACTTTTATAATAAATCATATCTACTTGAGCAAACAGCATCATTACTATTTTAGGTAAGTCCTATGCCAATGGTGTTTTATGCCTTGGCAATACAAAAAAATAATTAAATACATCTTATTTATGTTCCTCATTACTTACTAGCAAGTAACATTAACAAACAAGATGTGTTTTTTCCGTTTAATCATATTTGACAAATGGTCATTATCTGGTCCATGGTAGCCAACGTTCCTCGGAGGGATAGACTGGGCATAAACCTAACAATGGAATTATTTGTATGGCCACCCACAAATTAAAACCCATGACCTCACAGTTGCTGGCCCTACAATTTTATCACTAGACAGGGCATAAACCTAACAATGGAATTATTTGCATGGCTACCCACAAATTAAAACCCATGACCTCACAGTTGTTGGCCCTACAATTTTACCACTAGACAATGGCACCATTCAGTTATATTTAATATCAACTCTATCGATTCTATATAGGTATCATGAATATAAATATTGTCAACCACGTGAAGTATCACCAACGTACCAATAGTGAGACCAAAGCCACATGCATAACACATTCATCCACCCCTTCAGTGTAATTATGCAAAGCCCTTTATGTCGATTGGACATGCAGATTTTAGTGCAAATTTATTCCATCAAAATTTCTAGTTCACCTAGGAAAGAACAATGGAGCCTCTCTAAATAAAGGTTGCGCATTAATTAAACATTTAATACGGTCAAGAGTTCAACAGATCCGAAAATACTTGAAAGTTGAAAAACATCTCCAAGACAGCCAAATGAGAATGAGTATAGTGCAAATAAGCAAAGATCTGGCAACTCTATTTGTTAAACATGCTATCGGTTTATATCTAGATTGTAAATTCAGAAGCAACAATATACCTCGCAAAAAATTATATAATAGGATAAAGAAATACTCCAAACAATATGACTAGCAATGAGAGAATCAGTTCCAATCATGCCCACAACCTGGCTGGCCTGGTAGTGGTTATGGGCCTTATGGGGAGTGGGGACTCTACTGTTCCTCCCACAATATGCTCATCAATAATGTTCTGACTCATGCATCTATGACACCCAATGTCCAAGGAAAAGGACAGCTGCCAATAATCTTCTGTGGATGGATAACGAATATAAATTTTGCTCCTTAGTGTGAAAAAAACTGGCCTTTTTAACAAATTGGACATAGATTTCCTTTAATTTCATGTTTGCAATTTTCTAAAGAAAGGTTCTTGATTTTGAATATTTGTTTGGATGTCTACAATGGTATTGATGTAAACATTAATAACTCAACATCTTTTGACATTGAAGTAGCCTAGTTCTAGTGATGGCCGACTGCTGACTATAGGGGATTTGCACCACCGCACAAGGATGGAAAAGCCCGAAAAAAAGAAGAAAAAAACTTAACTCCCTGATAATCAGGGGATAGCAGGGATACCATAAAAACAACCTGACTTGCCATAAGATTATGAGGACAATTAGAAATTCTAGAAACTCACCATTGGGACAAACTGAACATCAGTCCTTATTCAAATGATTAGTAGAACCAGTTCCTTTCCAGATACCAGAGCAGAACCCTAAAGTCTCTGCCTACAGGTCACCTGTATGATGGACAGCACTTAATCAAATCAGAAACAACATTAAAAAGTATTTTGGATCAGTAACAAAACAAATAAGCATTCCAAATTACATGAAACAATACAGTTAGCTTAACAATCAAAAATAATTGCCATCAAGCCTAAAAGTTGATAATATGACTGCCACCATATGCCTCAATAGGGACAATTACCTTCGGCCAGTTGGTTTTACCAAATTGAGGTCTGCAATAACTCCAACAATTCACATTGTAGCTTTGGACCTAGTTGATTCCTAATATTCAGAATCAGGACTTCTTCCAACCAAAGAAATAACGGCAACAAAAGATCTCATGTGACGTAACATGACAAAGATATTAAATATGTTTGTCTCAATAGGCGGCGAAAAAATAAAACTCCCAATTCATGGAAACTTTAACTACATATTAATTCCTCAATGCAAGAATATTCTCATTGTTACTGCATATAAGTCCAATGCAGGACGCAAGCCATCTACATTGATCAAAATAAGTTGTTTACTGTTGCCAACAAATGGCTGATCATTTTGCACCAACCGAGTGCATACATGTGTAACTCCCAAAACAACCGCAACCATGATCAAAGGAGGAACCATCTCAAGCAAATCATTAAATACAGCCTTCAAGAGACACATCTGAACTATTAAGGCTAAAATGGCAAGCAACTTTTGAACAAGGTTCGCAGAAGCCTCCATTGTGGTGATCTACAAGAAAGGCAATAAATTCCCAGGCTATCACATCAAATTCTGCTTGCTTACGATATGAATTCCAAATATCCCTGATTCAATTTATATTATCCCAACACCATGAACAAGCAAGCAAAAAGCCTATAGATATATAAGGGAGAGCATATCCAGCTGCTATATTTACAATTTTCAGAGATCCACCAGCAAGCTTAGCAGTCATCATGTCTCCCGAAGGAAAACCTAGTCTTTCTCTGTCCAATCAACGGCCCACTTAGAAAATTTAATGATTTCTGTTTGCCACAGTTTCGTGGGAGCGCCCAAGGAGGAATCCCCATAAATGCGTCCCCCTAAGGCAATTCAATGTTTTACATATAAATCTTTCCTAGATAAATTATATCTGGAAACCCTAATTAGCTCCAACATTGAACTCCGGGACGAATATGGTTCCTCAATCACGGAAAGCAGTATATTATCTAGATCGCAGGTGAAGCTGATAAACTAAACAAAAACCAACATGAGGAATCGCATGTCGGTGAAGACTGCCTGTCAGATTTAGATTCTATAGCTTCGCCAACTGAAGTCCTACTACCTAAATCCCAGATGAATCTACACAACACCAAATCCTTTTCTCTTCTTCCTCCCAGAACCGTTGACACTGCTCGTGTGCATCACCATTCAATCTTCTCACTCAAAAGCCCTGTATTTACATATATGTTTTCTGAAACCGAAGATTTGACAATTCCAGAGAAGAGCAAAGCTTCCTTGCCGACACAGCGGTTGCAGTTGCTGATCGTGGGCAAAAAACCAACAAAAAAGCAGAGAAAAACAGAAACTATGGGTTTCAATACCTGTTATTTTGGTCAGTTGAATATCGTAGCGATTGATTGATGATCCGACAAAACTCCTATGATTAAAGCACAGGGATTTTCACACAGATCTTCGATCAAAATTCTTCAAATTCTGGCGCAAAAGAAAAAACAAAATTCTTCGATTCAGTTCATCTTCTTCTGATTCTCCTCCAACAAGCCGACCGTTGAACGACGATCGACCTATCTGCGTTCTCCGTGGGGTGAACGTAGCTTCGCTTCCCTTCTAGATTTCTCTTCTTTTTCTCCAAGCCAGCCAAAAGTATTCGAATTCTGGCGCAAAAACACGAAATTCTTCGTTATGGTTCTTCTTTTTCTGCCTCTCTTCCAACACGCCGACCGTTGAACGACGATCGACAGATCTGAGTTCTCCGTAGTGTGAACGTAGCTTCGCTTCCTTTCAAGTTTTATCTTCTTCTTCTCCAAGCCAGCCTAAAATCTTGGAATTCAGGCGCAAAAACACGAAATTCTTCGATTCAGTCCTTCTTTTTCTGCTTCTCCTCCAACACGCCGACCTTAGAAGTTAGAACGACGACCGACGTATCTGCTTTCTCGATTCGATTCTAGTTTTCTCCTCTTTTTCTTCTCCAATCCAAACTAAAGTCTTCGAATTCTGGCGCAGAAAGACGCGAATATCTTCGTTTCAGTTCTTGCGTAGATTCGCTTCGCTTCAAGCTTTCTCTTCTTATGCTGCTGCTGCTGCTCCAAGACAGCCTCGATGCCTTTGAACAGAATAGATGAGGAAAAGGAACACCACGTTGGCCCTCATCACGTATTTATGGAGAACTTGATGCCTAAACTGCCCTCGCACTTGGCCTAATTTTGGTCAAAAAGGGCCTTTGGTTTTGGCAAATTAACTCCAGGTCAACAGTCGACGTGCGGCGATGATTACTTTGTTTCTGTATTACTATTACGATTGGGAAGCCAACCATGGATGAGCTGGACTCCAATTTTTTTCAGCCCCTTGTTATACTTTATTTTGTACTTGTCCCCTTCAAGTTTTTCTATTTCTCTTTATGCCCCAAATCCTTTTCTTTTTTGGTTCTTTTATTCTTTCAAAGTATNATTTTGGTCAGTTGAATATCGTAGCGATTGATTGATGATCCGACAAAACTCCTATGATTAAAGCACAGGGATTTTCACACAGATCTTCGATCAAAATTCTTCAAATTCTGGCGCAAAAGAAAAAACAAAATTCTTCGATTCAGTTCATCTTCTTCTGATTCTCCTCCAACAAGCCGACCGTTGAACGACGATCGACCTATCTGCGTTCTCCGTGGGGTGAACGTAGCTTCGCTTCCCTTCTAGATTTCTCTTCTTTTTCTCCAAGCCAGCCAAAAGTATTCGAATTCTGGCGCAAAAACACGAAATTCTTCGTTATGGTTCTTCTTTTTCTGCCTCTCTTCCAACACGCCGACCGTTGAACGACGATCGACAGATCTGAGTTCTCCGTAGTGTGAACGTAGCTTCGCTTCCTTTCAAGTTTTATCTTCTTCTTCTCCAAGCCAGCCTAAAATCTTGGAATTCAGGCGCAAAAACACGAAATTCTTCGATTCAGTCCTTCTTTTTCTGCTTCTCCTCCAACACGCCGACCTTAGAAGTTAGAACGACGACCGACGTATCTGCTTTCTCGATTCGATTCTAGTTTTCTCCTCTTTTTCTTCTCCAATCCAAACTAAAGTCTTCGAATTCTGGCGCAGAAAGACGCGAATATCTTCGTTTCAGTTCTTGCGTAGATTCGCTTCGCTTCAAGCTTTCTCTTCTTATGCTGCTGCTGCTGCTCCAAGACAGCCTCGATGCCTTTGAACAGAATAGATGAGGAAAAGGAACACCACGTTGGCCCTCATCACGTATTTATGGAGAACTTGATGCCTAAACTGCCCTCGCACTTGGCCTAATTTTGGTCAAAAAGGGCCTTTGGTTTTGGCAAATTAACTCCAGGTCAACAGTCGACGTGCGGCGATGATTACTTTGTTTCTGTATTACTATTACGATTGGGAAGCCAACCATGGATGAGCTGGACTCCAATTTTTTTCAGCCCCTTGTTATACTTTATTTTGTACTTGTCCCCTTCAAGTTTTTCTATTTCTCTTTATGCCCCAAATCCTTTTCTTTTTTGGTTCTTTTATTCTTTCAAAGTATGCGTCAGTTAATTAAAACATCTTTAATCATTGAAAAACGAAGAAGAAAAAAAAAAATGGCAAAGCCAATTTGAGTTGATTAAGTCAAATAAAGGATTAGCTTACTCTAGCAAAAGACTCTTGAATTTACTAAACAAGGAGCTTGAATTAGAAGGCTCAGGTCTAGTGTCAACATGGCATCATTGCTTAGACAAAGTGCATGAAGTATGCCAAACTTTACCTTTTGAAACATTTTCAGTATTAGATTGTTTATTTAATTATGTATATTGTTCTTGTTTCACTCTATATGATAGAAGAACTTCAAGCTGTAATTTTCAAGTCCAGCTTTCCTGTCGACTTCATCAAACCTGAATTTTCAACGAACACATTAGAAAGGAAAAAAAAGAAAGAAGTGTAATAAGATTTAGCTGCACTTTGAGAAGGTCAAACTTGAACAAGGCCAACTATGGTTGTTTCATTTCAAAAAAAATGTTATATTATCCAAGTTTTAACCCAAAGTTTATATCTTAAATGCTTCTATACCACACACTAAGTGAAAAAAATTGATTTTTTAGGCCCTATAACAGAATATGTGAGGTGTAGATACATTTGAAATATAAAATTTGGGCTAAGATTTGGACAGGCTAGCAGCGTTGTTCATTTAATTATCTTGGCCTTCTTATTCTTTATCTGTGCGATGAACATTGAATTTGAAAATGTCCAACTAGAAAGGGAAGTTTAGAGTGATGTGAAAATAAATGAGAGATAGAGTTTGTGTGGCCATAAAAATATAAGAATAAAAAAAGTTGAAAGGATATGAATCCCACTAGTATTCAATCTCGAGATTGTAGGGACAAGAATCATCAACATGCTCTATGACTATAATGTATTTTAAAATGAGTAACCTCTTGCTACATTAATCAATTATATTTTGAAGGTACAAGAAGTGGTAATAATAATGAATTGTAAATTTACACGTCTTAAATTCAAATTTGAATAGTCTCTTAATGTCAATTCATGAAAAATTTATCCCCTATAAATACCCTAGTCCTCGGCGTGGATGACCTGCATTTTTTTTTTTTTTGTTACAGGATGTCTAGACTTACATCGACCACTTTCTAAAACATGTCCCTAAAAGGATAAGGATAACTAGTTTTTAAGATATGTGGAAAGAGATTAAACCTGAAAGTTTTAAATTGCCAAAAGACAGACCTAACACTAGAGACTGAGCCAAAGTGAAGGTTAATTGATGGGTGCGTAAGCTAGCCTAGACTATTGAATCAAAAAAAAAAAAAAACAAAATATAAAGAGCACCCCAAAATTTTCTTTAATTATTTTGTATGATTTTATTATACATCTAATAAAATTTCACATATGTATTATAATTATGATTGAACTTAAGATTAAGAAGGGATGAAAATAGCCTCCCACCAACCAATAGCCAATAGAGAATCAACCTGGGCTCAGCCCACCATCGTTGACGTTTCTTCCTCCTCCACCTAAAAAATCAATAAAGGAGCTTTTGACCTATTCCATGCATTTTTAAAAAAATAGATTTCAAATAAGGATAGTTTTAAAATTAATTCTCAAATGCGGGTTGTTTTTAAAAACGTTAAATGGACTGACGTTTTTAAGATAAAGACGTCTATTTGACGTTTTTGAGCTCAATACTGTAGCTAAGCCCAATTGATCAACCCACCATTAAAAACGGGAAACCGTTTGACGTCTTCAACTTGAAAAATCAGCCTGCCTTTTCTTTCCCCCCTCTTTCTTTCCCCAATTTTCTTTGCCCTAACTTCTTTCAGGCGACCCAACAACCAGTAGCCACCACCTCTCACCTCCTTGAGGCGCGCACCTCTAGTGACCACCACCATCGTAGCACCCCCACCATCGCAGACCCCCCCATCGCAGCCAGCAGCCACCACCCCTTTCCTCCTTCAGGCGCGCACCTCCAGCGACCACCACCATCGTAGTAGCTCCATCACCGAAAGACCACCATCACAGGACCCCCACCATCGCAGCACCAGCCACCACCGAAAGAGCACCACCAGCCATCACCGCTGCACCCCCACCTATGAGTAGAAAAGGGACTTTTTTTGGATTTGATTGATAATTCTGCTATAATTTTAGAGATACACAACATAGCTTAGGACAATCAACGTGGAGCTTAAATATGGCCGTAAAATTGTAGTTTCTTGTCGAAAAGATTATAGGGTCAGGGAGTTGAAATGAGTACTGCATTGTAGTCCTTTTGGTACTTTTGCAATTGTTTAGAGTTGATGATTATCAACAGTGGTCAGGCAAGTAAACTGTAATGTTACATCAAAGTCCAACTTGCAAATGTAATTTGCAAGGATTGGCTTATGTGGGGTCATAGTTGTTGTCATTAGGCTTTCATGTTTCTTAATTCGTTTTGTGGTGTTCAAAATTGGAAATCTCCGGGATGGTTGTTCATTTGACTTTTTGGCTACTCCACTCAGAATCTTCTTTCCTCATTTTATAGGTGTTGCCTGGTTTTGCACAAGATGCCAGTGTCATAACCAGTTGCAAATTATATTGGTAATTCTATTTTTGCATGTTTAGTTCATATTTGGAGGCTTAATGGACCACATGTATAGAATTAGTCCTATAATCTAGAATGTCCCTGTGGTTAGGTCTGCCTAGTTAAGCATCTAATAAATTCATTGTATAAATTGTCAATGACTCAGTGATCAAATTTAGTATGCCAGATGACCGGCGATCGTTTATCTAATTCTAGGTATATCCTGTTTTGAGCACTTGTTGGTTTAAAGTTGTTCTTTAAATTTTCCAGTATACAAACTTTGTACATGTTTTTGCCAATGGTTTAGTGGAGAGCTCGAGAATATGATAAGGCTGAAAAGCTTTAGGCTAAGTTTGAGATTTACCAACTTATTTTCATTTTCAGTACAAAAAAAAAAGCTTATTTTATGGATGATTTAATTTGGGTGAACTGAAATGGCTTATGAGTGTGGTTTGGGTGAACTGGATGATTTGATTTGCTGTGTTCAGTGTTGGAGGAATTAGTTGATTGATTGTATTTTTGGGGTTATTGATTGCATATATAGATTAAACATACATTCATTCACATGTTGAATTGTTCTAATTGGTAAAAGGAGTACAACAAATTTTCTCCTTTGTATTTGATTGATAAGAGATGAAAAGAAGGAAAATTTGATTTTTTTACATTGAGTATGGATGAAAAAGTGGACATAATACCATTGTATTTACATACTAAATTAACATATGCATAATACACCATATTAAGGGATGAAAAGGTAAATAACTTAGATTTCAACACATATAATTAACTTTTTTTCACTTTATTTCCAATTTTAGAGATAAATTTTAAGGAGTTGGAAAAAAGATTAATCCTTTTACTGTTTCCTTCCTTTTACTTTTGTTTCCAAATTAAATAAAAAAATTTATCTATCTCTCAACTTTTTGATCACGCCAAATGGACATACGAGAGAGTGAGCATGCAAGAATGGTATATTTTGTGAAAATATAATAGAGATTGTACCAAATTTTTTTTCAGTATCATACTATTTATTATTTTTTTGAGTATTTATACACTTTTTT